CCTCGTTTCAACCCTTGCCCCTGGGGGGGCCTGCCAGCCAGTCAGGGCAGACAGCGCAATGGGGGGGCAGCCCTCAGGCTGCTGCTTCTGACCCCCCCTAGCCCTCCCTCATGGGAGGGGGGCAGCTCTGGATTTAGCTTCCAGAGGGAAGTTGCTTTTGCTCTGAGGTCCCAAAGGCAGCAAACATCCAATTCAAAGCCACCTACTTTCAAAATGGACCAGCAAAGAGCTTTGCCTTAGGGGCCTGCCACCCTGGTCTCAGCTAGGGGCCAGTCTGGCCTGGCCACCCCTCAGTTGGGGGGTTCTGGAGCCCGGGGGAGGAGGGGCGGCGAGGTAAAAGGGCTGCTCCTGGCATTCTAATTCCAGGAGACACAAAGCGCCAGGCTTGCATTTTGGTGAGCCGAAGATCAGAGGGCAGATTCTGGCAAAGGGGGTGGGTGAGTTGGCTGAAGCAAGGGAGCCAAGAAAATCAGTACTTCCCAAATCATGGAAACGATGAAGGCAGTAGACCTGGAAAAAGACTAGGAAGGCTTTAATGGGGGGGAAGAATTTGGGGGAACGGGAGGCATCTTCACAACATTACAGACTTCGGCCTACCAGGAAAGGGGACCAGGAACCCTTCTGTGATCTCTGCAACAAGACTTTCCACTTGGGTGGTTCAGCGCGAGGAGCACCAACCGGCCAGGAGCAAACTGGAGGGGGTGGCGGGGACACCTGCTGCTGCCAAGGAGCCCACAGATTCACTTGGGAGCTGAGGGGAAGCCCCACCCCCACCCAAGATGGGAGAGGGGGGAAGAGCCTCCAGCTTGTAGGGGCCATGTCCTGACCCCCGAGCCTGACCCCAGATTCCACAGTTAATCTCCCAAACAAGGCAGGCCTGTGTGCGCCTCCTCCAGGGCAAAGGGGGAGCCAAGGCAGGTGGAGCAGGGAGGGAGGGAGTGGGTCTCAGAAGGGGAGAGGCTCCTTCAGCCACCCCTCCCTCCTCCCAGAGCAGAGAGAACGCTCTGAAGGGCCAGCGGCTTTGTTAAGTCTTGTTGCAGGTAATGCCTCTGAGCATAGACAGAGAGTAGGGACCAGGCAGTGGGGCAGGTTGGCATGGGACCCTCCTGGACTGTCTGGTCCTGCCCCCCCATCGCCACTCTGAGTGTCTTGCACCAGCGGAGGCTTCTCACTCCCGGACGTAGATCCTCGTGCAGACAACGTCGTCGGCCGTCATGGTCTGAAAAAGCAAGAGGGCGAGTTGAGAGGGAAGCAGCTGTCCCCGGCTCTCATCCTCTTCCAGGCTGGGGAGCAAAGAGGGCAGGGGGGGCAAGGGGAGCTCCAGGGTCTACTCCCCAGAATCGGAACCTTGGTGCATGGGAGGAACCCCAAGATTCTGCCATTCCTGCCTTCCGCTGGGGGGATAGGAAATGGGGTTCCTTCCCTGCAGTCCCCACATCCTGTGCCATCTGGGGGGGGTCCTGAAAGAGTTTGGATGCTGAGCTGCGTCTCCCAGGTGCCGACCCTGGCGTACGTCTGTGCTACACCACCCAAAGGCCAACGAAAGAGAGCAGCTGAGAAGGCAGGGTGGCAAGGCCGAGCCAGAGGGTTGGCTGGGCCCCCGTTGCCAAAAGCGAGGGGGGTCCTCACCAGAATGAGCTCCTCATCGTTGGTCAGTTCTCTGGACCAGCTTGTTTGTGGCCCTTCTCCTTTCAGCAACTTCTGCTCACACACGATTTTGTTATTATTCTCCCACTTGGCCAAACTCTGGGTCGGGAAAGAAAGAAAGTGCCCCCCCTTGAGAAAAGGGGCCTGCCTGCCACAGGCAACAAAGACACACAATCCCCCCCCCCCCGTCACACTCATTTGTCACTCGGCAGGCGGCCGGCAGGACAAGGCGGAGGCGCGGCGTTTGTTTCACCTTCCAGTTCCGCCAGGCAGCCCATCCATCATGCGAAGGGCTTGCCGAGAGAGAGCAAGAGGGCAGAGGCTTTGAAGGGCCATGGGGTGGGGGAGACCCCCTGCTGGGGTTGACTATCTGCACAGGGCCAGAGAAGGCAAGGGGTGGCCAGGAATGCCTCACCCTGGGTTGAGATGCAGAAAGGGTTGGGATGAGGGCGGAAGGGCCAGAGGAGCAAATGGCTCCCCCCCCCCCCCCCGGCC